AGCCCCTGGGAAAGCCAATTGCTCAGCTGGCCTGGCAAGCCTGCAAGCAGTACGATTTCCAGTCTCTCCTTGGAATCCTGACAGCACCCAGGGGTCCTGGAGACAAGGCTGATGAGGCTCATACAGTCCCCGCCCAGGGGTCTAGGGCTTCCACTGCAGCAGAAGGGGCCCCTGCCCTCCCTCCAGATGCAGGCAACCCTGCCTGACCAGTCTCCTGCAAGGCCACTGACACCCACATGGGTAGGACTGACATGCTGGGCTCTGTGAAACTGGAAAAAGCTAGGGAGCACCCAGCATCCCATCTCTCCCTTCAGCGGTCTTTAAGGACAGAGCAAGAGAAAAAGAATTTGGACAAAAACATCAGGAGTCCCCACTGGAAGGAAAACCTTACCAAGAGCAAGCATGGGATGGATTCATTAACGAGGCTGCAAAAATTCCTTCCCTGGATGGCCTTAGAGACTGAGCAGAGTAAGATGGATCTTCCTAAGCAATCACCACCTGCCAAAGTTTACATAAGTGATTTCACCTAATACATAAGCATGTTTATCTCAACTAAAGACCCATTAAGTACACCAAATAAAAAAACAAGTCTCCCTTTGGATCCAATCTTATTCTCCTTCTCAGAGAAAATGGAGTAAGTTAGGTGTGCAACCTTCTCTGATGTAATCTTCTCAAATTCTGGGAAGGCAGAATAAGGCCCATTTGTGAAGATCAAAGGTCACTTCCTCTAAGAGGGCTCTCCTAATGGCCACCCCTTCTCCCAGAGTGGAACTGGCCCCTTCCTCCTTCCTGCCCTTCTGTACACCTGTACAGACTCCTGTGAGGCAGTTACAGTGCTTGGCTGCCTTTCTTTTGGATCTATGCTTCCCTAAGGAAGGATTATATTTTATTTACTTAATCCTCCAGTTCCCACTGGACTGTGTCTGATCCTTAAGTGGACTTCACTAAATGTTTAAGGAAATGAATAAACTGAGGCTCAGAAAAGTTTGGCAACTTTAGTAAAACTCAAACACAGGTCTTTTGGGCTCCAAAGTCCACGCTCTTTCCATTACAGCATGATCCCTCCCAGACTCTCCTGAGTGTGGCAGTACTTCAGATGGACATGATGATCTCTTAAGGAACCTCACAGCCCCACAGCCTTTGAGTACAAACCCCAAGACCCAATGGGAGAAGAAACTGCACAGATCACCAGCAAATCCCTGACAGCTCCACAGGGCTCAGGAACCTAGAACTTGCCTGGGAGTGGGTGGTAAGCCTTCCTTGAAACCCCCACTGCTCCCCTCCCACTCCATCCTCAAACCTCAGGGAAGCAGTGTTTTCTGGGTAGAGTTCCTATGCAGGCCAGTTCCTCTGGCTCTTGGTGGCAGGAGGACAACCACACTGGCCAGGATTTAGCTATGTAGGCTTTTCTGAGCTCAGCAGAAACACCCTACATTCGCAGATAATCCACTGGGCCCCTACGATACATTGAGGCCCACTGAGGACACAAACAGAAGGGACTGTCTCTCCTCTTCTCCCAGGCCCAAGTTCCCACCTGGCCTCTACCCCTTTCCAGTGGGTATTGGTGTTCCCATCCAGACTCACAGAACTGGAGAACTTTGACCCAACTGGGGTTTTAATATCCTCATATTTACCAACATCCCCACATAACCAGACTCAGGGAATTCTTTGCCTTTAGAAAATTTAAGAATAATTGGTCCAAAAACAAATGTTCCCAAACACTTGCCTTGAAGAGCAAAGGAAAGAACTTAGCATGTTCCTCCAAACCTGGCAGTCACACTTGATCATCCCCTCTTCTCTTCCACCCTCCTCACCAGTTGGCCACCAAGAGTATAAAGCCCACCTCAGCTGCTCATATTCGGTACCTGTGTGCACATCCACTGCTTCTGCCCAAGGTCGGGCCTCCTTGCTACCATCTGAGAGCATTCCCCACAAGCAACCTAGGAGATTTTATAAAATATGTTTCTGTCACTCCCTGATTAAACCACTTCATTGTCCTCAGTTTAAAGTTCACATCCCTAGCATGGCTCACAGGGCCCTTTGTGACCTGTCCCCAGCTTGCCTCTCCTGCTGCTTCTCAGTACTCATTCCCTACATACTGTCCCCTAGTCATTTCCCAAATGTGTCATTCTCTCTCTAATCTCTAGGTCTTGGCATGTGTCCATTACGGTCACCCCTTCTTCCTGCCTCCCCTACACTCATCTCCTATCCACATGTCAGCTCTCCTAGACCTGCCCCACTTCTGTGCTCTCCAGGATCCAGTACATGCCTGTCATTGAGCTTCTCGACTGTCACTGTCACTGTCTACTACCTGATTATCCTTCCACTAGACTAGGAGGTCACTGGGGCTGGGCTTATGTGCCACTCACTGCTGGATCCTGGGGTCTAGCACACAGTAAGTGCTCAACAAATGCTGTGTAACAGATGCGCAAGTGCAGGAACAGAGAGTGGAAGGAGAGCTGCTTCTCTCAGGTCTGCGAGTGATTTCTATCAGGCCCCACATCTGTCCTACCGTGTCTTACTCCTACTCCTAGTGGAATCTTGTCTAACGGCACAAGGACATGTGAAGCAGGTGTGAGCCAAGCATTCTGAGCATTCTGGACACACACCATGTGAGAAGGAACCCCAAGGGGCCGTCCCTCCCTGGGGCCTTCTGAACAGGCCATGGAGAGGAGCCACAGGGCCTGGCCCCCATCTGTGTGCAGAGAGAAAACAGATGGCTAGCCAGCTCCCTCAGAGCTCCCTGGGGACAGGCAACGTGTGGACACAGTTGACGGATGGCCTGATGGGCAGGGTGGCCGCCAGAAGCTGTCCCTGTGGGGCTAGAGTTGTCAGGGCCTCCGCCCAGGAGCCTGGAGGAGGAGGGAAGACTCTTCTCGGCATGGAACTGGATTAGAACCGCTGCCAAGAGGAGGAGCAGGAGGAGGAGTGTGGGGAGAGGAGGAGCAGGAGGATGAGAGCCTCAGAGGAGGCTGTAGCCCTCCCACGCCAGCTCCAGGGTCTGTCCCAGGAAACTGTAATGCTGGGCCCCCTCTGCCCCTCTCTGCTGTGGTATGAGTCCCACCACCTGCCTACCCAGGTGAGAAAAGATACAGGGCTTCTCTCTGCCCTACACTTCTCATTGTCCTATCAGATGGCTCTAGAAGACTCCTGAGGGTGTGGCTTTCTACTGTCCCCTGCCGATCCCCCAGGCATCAGCCTGAGAAGGAAGTCCTCTGGGCCCCAGCTGGACTGGCCCCATGGGGGCTAAAGCAAGCCAGCATCTCAGGGACTCGAGCTGAAACATGGACTCCACCAGGCCTCCAAACCTAAAGCATCCACTTCCCCAGGGCTGGGGCAGCTATTTGGGAAGGTAGAGCAGCTGAGAAATATAAGATGCCAGGATGATCCCTAAGCTATAAAGAGAAAACTAAGCAGCATCTGGGATGCCAGGCCCGAGGCCCCAGAGAGGCATGTGCTGTGGTTCAGCAGGGAGCTGGCAACAATCCCCCAGGGGATTCATTCTTTAAGAAGAAAATTCCATCTATTAAAAGCAGTGTCAGCCTGGGAGAAAGCAGACAGACATAGCAACATGTACAGACTTTGGTTCTGAGACAAAGACCACTCCTCTAAGTTGTGGTTCCCTGAGCTCAGTCTAGCCCACTGGCTAACACATATAGGTGCTCAAGGTGTTTCTTGAATAAATGAGACCAGTTCCTTTCCTGTATTCCACAACAGGCTCCCTCCCACTCACTGCCCCTTCCTGACTAGCAAAGCTGCCTGACCCCTACCAGCACCAGGGTAAAGGAAGGTCTGGAACCCAACTCCACTGCTTCCTGCCAGACTTTGACCCCTACTGCTTCCAGGCCCTCCATGCCTGATAGGCGGCTAGGCTGAGCAGCCATCTGAGCATCCACTTCCCCTCCCCGGGAGAAAACTAGGACCGGGATTCTGTCTGCTTCTTAGCACTTCCTCCCAATTCTGACTTCGACGCATCTGGCAGGTTATTAATTGCTGAAAGATCCTCACTAGGCTGTGCACTAGTCAAGCTGCAGGTACCAGATCTGGACAGTTGTAAAAAACTCACAGCTGGGGGAGCAAGATGGCCAGGGGCCAAATGTCCGTCTGTGCTATCTCCAGGTAGAACATTCCAAACTGATATGTGGCCACCCTATCAAAAGACCCCTGGGGTTAGAGATCGTCATCCCCCTGGAGACCTGCTCATATATCTAATCTAAACTCTTCTGCTCCTGTGTCACCCCCTTCCACAGTGGGGTCTCAGGGACAGTCAGGCCATACTATCTCTGCAGGCTTGATCCCCGTGGCTTTCCCAGGACTTTTTCTTCTTCCAGGAGAGATAATAAAGCCTCTTGAAGCCCAGTGATCTCTATAAATCAGATCCAGTCAGTCACTACCCTGCTTTAAACCTTACAATGGTCCCATTTCACTGGGATAGAACCTAAACTCCTATTATGATTTACAAGGTCCTCCATGAAGTGGCCCCTGATTATCTCTGCAACCTGACCCAGTATTCAACTCCTTACTCACTTAGAGGCAAGAGGAGGCCTGTGGTCATCTACCCAGGAGCTTCCAAAGCTGCTGCACATCCCCACAACATAGCCCTGATTTGAAATAATTTGTCTCTTCTTTACCTCTAACATCTACATAGCATGGAAATCCTTTATTTTACTCCAGACACCAGGCTGGACAAGTAGTCCAGACTTTTCTCACATCTGGAATTGGATGTTAGCCTTCGTGCCCTGATTTAGGGCTCAGAAAACGTGGTGCCCAAACCCCTAAATGAAGCTTGTATCACCATGTATCACCCCCTCCCAGACAGGCTTCCCTGAGCCCAGGATGGCTTCTCCACTGACACAGTCACTAGGCTCTGACTGCAGCTCTCAGATACCCAGTTATCCACCCAAGTACAACTTGCAGGAGAAGCTGGCATTTCCTGTCCCTGGTCACCCCCAGCTATTTCCTGTCCCTGGTCACCCCCAGCTGCCCAGGGATACACTCACATCAGCTGGCTCCCTGCGGGGTCCCTCGCCACTCTGCAGCCAGCTCCGGCTCAGCTCACTGAGCTCTGGGATGGGCTGCACCTTGAGCCGCACGCTGTCCCCGGACTGCCGGATCATCTCCACAATCTCATCTCTGGACTTGCTCTCCACGTTGTGCCCATTAATCTCTACCAGACGATCACCCGGCACTAGCCCCAAGGCCAGGTCCTTGGTGCCCGCGCCGGGCTCAGCGAAGTGAACCACCCTCCGGTAGCCCTGGCCCTCGGGGCCCCGATCCAGCATGGTCGTGCGCCGCAGGGAGAAGCCGAAGTCTCCAGTGGGCCGCCGTTGCAGCTCCAGCTCCCGGAGGGCAGGGGCGGATGGGGGTGCCACAGGGGGCAAGCGCAGGTCAGCCGGGAACCTTTTGGTCACCAGCTCAGGGACTCGGCCCAGGGGCCCTGGTCGCGGGATGCCTGGGCCAGGATGCTGTATCAGCTGTCCCTCCAGTGTCCTCACCTCCACCTGGGGGGACGGGGCAGCGGAGTGCTCTGAGGGCGTGGAGGTTTCTGAGGCGCTCTCATCACGGCTGCGCTGGGAGAAGGAGAAGCGTTTGACAATCATCTGTGAGTTTTGCTTGGCCAGGGAGCCGAACTTGGCCGCCCGCTGCAGCACAGAGCCCCGGAAGCTGCCTTCCTCACCCTTGAGGTCATCGCTGGAGCTGGCTGTGCTCAGGTGGCCTGAGTCCAGGATGACACTGCCCCTGTTGCTGTCGGAGTCAATGTCAGTCAGGTGCAGGTCGGAGCCGCTGGCCACCTTGATGGGGATGGGGTTGGAGATTTCCAGGCGAGTCTTGGATTCACGTTTGGAGGAGCGGTTCAGGTTGAAGAAGCCTCGGCGCAGGCTCATCTCCTCCAGGCTCCGCAGCTCCGCTGCTGACATCCTCTCCTTCTTCTCCTTTTTCTCTTTTTTCTCCTTTCGCCCACCATCTTTGTCCTTGTCTTTCTTCATTAGGTTAAACATGGTGGGGGTGCTCTTTTTAGGGGTGGCACCCCCAGAGGATTATGCTTGCTTAGCACAGGGCCTTGGTACCCCACCTTGCTGCTGCAAACAGAAACAGTGAGAGAGAGAGTTATTTGAGCAGACGTCTTCCTGTCTCCAGTACAGACAAGGCCAACTGAGCAGCACAGCCACCTGCTCTGAGGCCTAGCACACTGTGTACCAGGTGCTCTGCTTTACCTGGTGCTGCTCCACTCACCTTAATCCTCAGCACCTGCTGTGGGTAGGTCTATTACTACCCCCATTTTACAACTAAGGAATCTTGAGGTTTCAATAAAGCTGTAAAAGCCCAGACTTCAGAGTCTGTCGTTTCCTTTAATCCCTGATAGGGGGAGCTTGGAGGTGGCATCCTGGAGACTGGACCTCTTGGCCAGAGGATGCCATCAAGTCAGCCTGGGGCTGACTTAAGATTCAAACACAGAGAAGTTAAGGGATTCTGTGTACCATCACCTTCCCAGGGCCAATACCCATTAATGCAACAGACATCACATGCTCTGGGTTCTTCCCTAAACCTGTTATCCCTACAGTAGCAAGCCAGCCTCTGCCTGACAGAAAACCTCAAAGGACCAACACTTTGTGTTTACCACTTGCCAGGCACATGCCAGGCACTTTACACACACTGTCTCATTTGAACTTAAGGTAGCTATCATTATCTCTACTTTAAATTGAGGAAACAGGGCTCAGAAAAACTATGTTAGTTGTCTCACAATGAAAAAGTGGCAATGCCAAAATTCAATGGCAAATATTGTTTTCTTTCTAGGGCCTTGGCGTCTAAAGAGAACAGGGAGGGATGGGGAAGGTCCAGCCTGAACAGAGGACAGACAGCTGTGAGGTGGGGGTGGGGTCCGCTGGATAAACAGGATCCTGAAAAACTCATATCCTTTTCCCCAGACCAGCACCTAAATATAGCCTGGGAGGAGAGTTGTGGCAGCCTGAGAGAAAAATCTCAGTTCCTGGGCATGTGTGCCTATGGCGCCAGCCTACTCTCACCTCTGAGCAGGCCTGACTGGGGGCAGAACTGAGAAAAAACCTGGTGGGGGAAGAGTTGACAGAGTCTTTCTTATTCTAACCAGCAGGGAACAAGAAGTAGAAGTAGGCCATATCACCTAATTAGAAATTAAATATAATATTTTCTCTCTCCATGAAGACTTCCCCTCAGAGTTCCAGACACAGATGTACAAGCTTACTCCTTCCAGCACTGACCTCGTGGAAGGTCTTCGAGAGGCCTCTCCTCACTGTGCACCTCACCCCCACCACCAAGCAGGGTCTCTAGGCTCCCCATTCTACCAAGAGAGACCTCCAACCCAGGTGCAATGCCTAGGAAGGCATCAAGGCCAGGAACTCCCAAAGACCCCGGGGTACTGGCTAATTGCTTTACCCCTACCAAGCGCCCTGACACATCTGGTTCTTCACAGATGAGCATATCCTTTCTAGAGTAGCACCAACCACAACAAATGTAATTCAAGTCATATATGTAATTTTAAAATTCCCAGCAACCACATTAAAAAAGGTAAAAACAGGTGAAATGAACTTTAACGATATAATTTGTCTAATGTAGAAATATCCAAAATACTATCATCTCAACATGTACTCTATATAAAAAATATTGACATATTTTACCTTCTCTCCTTCATATTAAGTCTTTGACATCCAGTGTGTGTGTTACACTCAGAATACGTCTCAGTTCAGACTAACCACATTTCAAGTATTCAAATGCCCTGTGTGTTTAGTGGCTATCCTATAGGGCAGTGCAGTTCTTATTAAATCTTTAGCTGTAGAGCAAATCCAGAGTGGGAAATCTGACCCAGTCACTAGTCCCCCACGAACCTAGCAAGGACCCCTTCTCCCGCTCTGACCTCAGTTTTTAGCTGGCAAAACAAAGCTCCCTCTGAACTTTTTGGTTCTGAATGCTCCATGCACAGTACCTAAGAGTAGGAAGACAGGAAATCTAGGGCCCATAAGGTGCAAAGCCAGGGGCAGCTGTGGACAGCTGAACCAGGACTCATTTGGGGTAGGGAGTGCCGGATGCAGGCATCCTCTCTTCAGACACCTTTTTTGGTCTCCAATTTTCACTCTGCAATCCTTACCCAATCCTGGCTCTTTGCAGGGAGCTAGACATCTGAGCAGTATCAACAGAAACAGGCCCCAGAATTCTAGAATCTCTGGGTTGGGAAGGCCTCTGAGAAGTAATTTCTGTAAGTCCCTATCTTGACAAAAGCTTGGCCCTCCCTGTCATTGTGACAGGCAGAAACTGCAGCTCCGGGAGCAGCCCAGAGGACAGCACTGGCTGGAAACCTGCTGTCCGGGCCTGGATCTGCCAACAGATTGCTGGGGGACCTTGTCTGTCACTTTGCTCAAGGTTGGACTGGACGATCTAGGTCTCTTCTAGCTCTAAAACGCCAAATATCTAAGTCTCTGTGGACACAGGTTAGTTATTAACTTTCTGCCAAAGTCACCCCTCTCATTCCAACCCCAGGGCCTTGGGAGCCTGAGTCCATTTCAGCTCTCTTTCCACATCAGCCCTGTCCTGCCACTGTTATCCACAGAGCTCACAAAGTACCCCCTCCCTACTGTCATCCCCACAATGGCCAGGCCAGCTGCAGCCCGTGGTTCTTCCCTGCACCACATGTCTGGAGCTACCTCAGCCTCCCCCACTCCCAGGGTCAGACCTGCAGTGCAGCTGAAGGTCCAGCTGCTCCAAAGCACCCAATTTGCCAGAGACCTGGCTGTTGTTACCTCCTTACAGACCTTGGACTTCCCAGCATCTCCTGTCTTCAAGTCTAAAGTCTCCAGCAGCAATGACATCACCAACTCTCCAGTCTCCACTCCAGGCTGCAGGGTCTCCCGGCCTCCCCTTGGCCTCTTACCCTCTCCAGTGAAGGTAAGCCTACAGTTTTCCTGACCTCCTTCTCTGCCTTTCTCCCCTCACCTACTCCAGGAGGCCTTGCCAAATTTGAAGTGGAGGAAAGGTGTGTATGTAAATTAGGATATGTACCTAAATCATTGTGACCTTACCATCTCCCAAATCAAAGCAAAGTGCAATGGACTAGGTCCACTTGGCTGCTTTATCATGTTAAGACATAAAGCCAAGAACCATTCAACTTAAATATGCCTCTGTCAGTTCATCAACAGGAGAAATAATGTACACATTCCCACAATGGGGTGCTACTCAGCAATAAAAAGGAAGGAACTACTGGTAGGCACAACAGGGATGAATCTCAAAAACATCATGCCAAGCAACAGTAAAAGAAGGTTTTGACAAGGCTACCTATTGGTATGTTACTATTTATGTGAAGTTCTAGTAAGACAGTAGCCAACTTGTGACGGTTTTTTAACTTACGATTTTTCAACTTTATGATGGTGTGAGAGCAATACACATTCAGTAGAAACTGTATTTCTATGTATGCATTGTGCTGTTTCCAGGCCAGCAACATCCCTACGACATTCTCTTGCGATGCTGAGCAATGGCGGGAGCAGCAGCTCCCATTCATACAATCACGAAGGTCAACAACTGACCCATTTAACAATCATTCCACACCCATACAGCCACTGTTTTTCACTTTCAGTACAGTATTCAATAAATTCCACAAAATATTCAACACTTTATTATAAAATAGGCTTTGTGTTAGATGATTTTGCCCATCAGTAGGGTACAGGGAGTGTTCTGAGGACCCTGAAGGTAGGCTAGGTTAAGCTATGATGTTTGGTAGGTCAGGTGTATTAAATGCATTTTGACTTAAGATGCTTTCAATTTACAGTGGGTTTATCGGGACATAACCCCATCATAAATTGAAAAAGATCTTTACAGGCAAAACTAACCAAAGGTGAAAAAAATTAGAATAGTGGTTACCTCTGGGAGGTGGGGATTGCCTGAGAAAGGGCATGAAGGAACTTTCTGTTCACATATCTTAATAGGGTTTTGGGTATATACATTTGTTGACAGGTATACAGTTTGTCAACAGTCATCAAATAATGCACCTAGGATTTGTGCATTTCATGTGTGAAATACAAGAAAAAAATAACTGTGAACAAATACTGAACTCTAGTTAACGATATGTATGCTAAAGTATTTGGGGCAAAATATACTGATGTCTGCAATTTAGATGCATCAAAAATATAGTACAGCTTAATGGATAGATGAAGGGACAAGTATCTGATAAAGCAAGGGTACTAAAATGTTAATTGTAGAATCTAGGAGGCAGGGGATGTTTACTTTTCTAACTTTTCTAAATGTTTGCAGAGCTTTGTGATACAATAAATGTTGGGAAAAATACATATCTACTAAATGCAAGGGATATAAAGATACATAAAACTGACAAAAGCGCTTAGGCTTCAGATTACAGGTCACAGGCCTGAGAACAAATCTGAGTTAACAGCTATACAATCTTGGGCAAGTCACTTAAGGTCTCTGTGCCTCTGTTTTTCCATTTGTAAAATAGAAATAATAATAGTACCTACTATATAAGGATGAGAATTAAACGAAATATGTATATCAGCTCTTCCAATAACACCTAGTCCAGAGTAAGCCCTCAAGAGTAGTACCCAATAAGTAGCAAGACACATTCTTGCCATCTAAATGGGATAGTAGAGAGAATAATAAAATATACAATTGACTATCAGCATGTGTGACTAATATAAGTCTAGATATAAAATCTTAATGCTGGACTGGACCTTTGTACATGTAAAGTAAAGCCCTCAGAAGTGAAGGCAATCCAGTAAGCACATGGCCAGGCTGAATCACACTGGCTAGAGTCCAGAGGCCCTACACAGCTGCTGCCAAGGACAAAGACAGGCAATTCATAGATGCAGAAATACAAACGGCCAATAAACATGAACAGGTATTCGGCTTCAGTAATATTCACAGGAATATGAAATACAACAGAGATACACTGATGTTCATTTAGCAGTTTAGCAAAAACTACCAAGATAAGTAACATCAGTTAGAGAATGGGAAGCAGGGCATTTCACCATCTCATCGTTTGGTGGGAGTATAATTTGGTATAAGGAGGGCATGTGTGGCAGCTATGAAAATCTTGACAAGTACATATTCTTGGGGCAATTCCACATGTAAGGCATGAATAGGTATATCACAATAAATATGGCTAATCTTTGCAGCATTATTTGTCATAGTAAAATTCTGTCAATATAAATGTCCATCACTAGGGGAATAGCTAAATTATAGAATTGGGCAGTTATTAAAAAGAATGAGGTAGATCTGTATATACTGAACTGGAAAGATTCTATACCATACTGTTAAGTGAAAAAAGCAAGCTGCCAGATAGTGTATCATTTTTCCGAGAATTCTAAAAACTATGTATATGTGTTGGTGTATATGTATACATACATATGCACATTATGTACAATATATGCATATGCATAGAAAAATGTATACTATGGGGCAGATACAGGGATTTTAGAAGGGTCAAAGCAGACTTGGGTTTTATCTATATTAATTTTTTACAGTGAGAATATTCATCTGGTGTGTGTGTTGAAGACCAAAGGTTTTAGATAGTGGGATCATGTGTAATTTTTCTTCTACTTTTCTGCATGTTTTTTTATTTCCTACAGAAAACTTTTTTTTTTACATTTATATAAAATTATATTTATGTGACATTAAACTATAAATATATATATTACATATGTATTATACATATATATTATATAATAAGCTTTTAAAAAACAGTCTGGCAAGATCCATCACAAAATTTTCAGTGGCTTTCTCCATAGAGTAGGGACAAAGAGGGTAACACTTTAGCTTTCTACCTAGCAGACTTCCTACGGATTAAACCTTTTTCCGGCATATGCTACTTTTGTGATTTTAAAGATTAAAAAGAAAGAAAAAGAGAAAAGGCTTGACAAAGTAGTGAACAATCCACTTAGTGTTAAAGCTGCATATGGGGTTTGCATCTCATGCCTTGAAAAAGTTTCAGTGACGTGGGGACTTGGTTAAAACAGATCTCAGGGTGTCTTGTGGCTTTAAGTGGGGACAGATTTAAATGGGTCACCCTGCAGCTGGCAAAGTTAAAACCCTAGGAAATGGAAACTATAACGTTAGAATCCCAAGACGAGGGCGCTGGACTTGGCTGCTGTGTGTGGATTGTTAAAAGGGGTCAGCGGTCAGCCTCCCGCCCCCCACTCAAGGCCACACTCATAAATAAATACAAAGGAAATACTTTCCCAAGAGAGACGGCCTCTCTCCCTCGGCCTGTGACCTCCCTGAGCGGCCGTTTCCTACAGCCCCGAGGCCTCTGCCCTGGCGCTGGCCCTCACCGAGATGGCTCGGGCGGCCGGTGGGGCGCGCACAGCACCTGGCCCGGCCCGACGTCGCAGGCCGGGCGGCGCGGGGTGACGCCCGTCGCCGCCGAGCCTCCTTCCGGCAGGTCCTGCTGAGCTCCGCAGCGCCCCATGACTCACTGCAGGTCACACGGAGCTTATCTGGCTCCAGGTGTGCTCACTCACTCCGACTGCACGCTTCTCACATGACATCAGGCGGCCGCCCGCCGGCGCCCGGCTCCCCTCTCTGCCCGCTGTTGCGGGGACGGCGGCCCTCAGCGCTTGCAGGCAGTGGGCCCGGCGCAGCCGCAGCCCCGCGGCGCCTCGCGCTGCGATACCGTCTCCCCTGGAACGCAGCAATCCCGCAGGCCCCGGGAGAAAGGAGAGCGCCAGAGGAGCCGGCAGCCGCCCAGGTCCCCTGCTGCTCTTCCAAGTGCACCTCGGCGGTTCTACGCGGGGCCTGCAGCAGCCGGCTGGACACTAAGCTCAGCTAATACTGACCGCCCCCTGAGCCCCCACCCCCACCCTCTGTGTGACCTTGAGCAAGTCCCGTCCCCCTCTAGGCCTCAGCTGTTTCAACTATAAAATCTCATGGGCTTGACATTTCAGACTTGGCCCCAAGCCCCTGCCTTTGCGGGAGAGGTATTCTGCTCAGACTACAGGTTCTAATCCTGCTCTGCCTCTGACTTGCTGTGTGACCTTGAGCCCATCATCCAACTTCTCTATCAGAAAATAATAAAAATAATTCCTCGTAAAGCACGATAAAGTACCTGGCAGAGAAAAGAGGCCTGGGTCCTGTAAAATCATCAGTCCATGATTTAAACTGCTGCCTGACTGTAAGCTATTTAAAATGTCAAGGGAATGTGGATAATTTACAAGCCACACAATTCCTACCTCAAGAAAAAAAGCAGGAAACTGAGGTGGGGGAGGACTGGAGGCTTTCTGGGTCCACTCTCACCCCTCCCAATCCAAGCTCCTGCCACTGCACCACACTACTCTCTAACTCAGGCTAACCCAGAAAATGGTGATGGGGGGTATGGTGCAGTCAGCAATTCTTAAAGCTCCCCAGGGCCTGACCCACAGCAGAACTTAAAAGCTCCATCAAGCTCCAACCCCTGGGAGAACCTGTTAACCACAGCACAGGGTGGGCTGTGCCCTCCCATTTCCCCAAACCTTTAAATTACATTAGGCCAGACCCCTCACATTCACCCACCACACCTAGGAATAGGTCTGGCACAAGGCCTGGAGCCCAGGGCCGCCACCAGGACCCCGCTCACAGGACTGATCTGGTTCCAGTCTGGGGTGTCCACGCAAAGTGAGGGAGGTCTGTCTGGGGACAGGCCTCAGGTTGGAAGGAGCAAGAACAGCCACACCACCCTGGAGAACCGTGACACACCAAGTCTGGATCAAGGCTTCCTAGGTTCCAACAACTCCCTGCTCCACCCCAGTAGGGTGGATTCTCCCTTTCACACAAGCCCCAGTTCTGCCCCACCCAATCAACCTTCACATACCTGTTTTTGGGGGACATTGGAGTTTCCAGGCCCAACTTCCAAAGGCACATGCACCCCTCAACAAACAGCCTCAAGCTGGACCAGTGACAGGGGCTCCAGGCAGCAGGCTGGTTGCCCAGACTGCCAGGGAGTTGAGGTCAAGAAGTCAGGAAGGGTACACTCCACTTGAGAGCTTTTGAGGAGAGCCCAGGGCATGACAGGAAGCCCTCAGGCACACACCCGGGCACCTGAGCCAGGCCAAGAGGGAGTAAACAAACTAGATATTCCAAGATGCCAGGCACCAGGTCATCAACTGTTTGAAGTTAAAACTCTCAAAGAAGTGACCACTGGTATTCTACCCATCCTACCCTCACCCTCCACCCCCACTGGTGACCCTTGTCATTCCCCTAACCCCTAACACAACACAATAGCTTCCCCCATTGTCTTCCTGGAATTGAGGCCCCAGTCCAATGTCCCCGACTCTAAATGGGCAAGCACACCTCCACCGGAAGCTATATATAACCAGTCATGTCCAGCAACCAGGAGGATGTTTCCTGGAAAGTCCTCATTACAAAAGGACAGAGGGAAAGCTGAGGAGGTGGCAAGCCATTGACAAAGAGCCAGCAAGGTCTGTCAGGAAGCCACAGGCCTCGGGAGAGCAACTTTCAATATCCCTCAATAGAAAGTAGCCCCTGAACCAAAAGGGTGGGGAACACTAGGCAAGGTCCTGCCCACTGCCAACAGCAAACCAACCTGCACGAGAAAAGGGCTCCAGACCTGGGAAGTGCATGGAAGGGAAGCTGGCACCCCTAGAGTCAATGTCTTCTTGCTAAGGCGACCTTGCTCTTAATCTCCAGGACCATGTTCCCTCCCATCCAGCATGGCTCCTGTGGGTATGCACTTCACACAGTTCACTCTCCATGGGGGATTTACAAGGCCTCCAGCCACAGTCATGCCAGGCACTCCAAAAGACACACAAACCCACGCAAACCAGCCCCAGTTGTTGGCAAGGTGAAGGGGGGAGGGAATCCACTTTCAGAATTTGGGGGGCAATCTGAGGGTAGGAAGGCCCTAGGCAGGAGAGCTCCTTCCAGAAACCATGGTCTCAGGCCTTCCTACACAGACACAAACCATGAGGACATTGCTGAACACGTGCCCCACTGGCCAAGTGACCAGGCAAGAGGAGAGCTGCCTAAAAACAAACTGGCTGCCTCCCGGCTCCTCCCTCAGCTCATTCTGGCCAGCAGCCTTTCCAACTAATCAGCAAGACACATGTGCCTTGCAACGGGGTGACACCCCCACACCCACCCTCAACAAAGTCCCCAGTATGTGGTGTGTCTGCCAAGGCCTTATCTCAGCCAGGAATGTGACCCACTCCCCACCAGGCTGGGTACGGAGCAGCACCCTCAACATGGGGTTGGGGGTAGCTAACCTTACCACCTCTCCTCATTAGCGAGACTACTGGAATGACAGGTTAGCAGGGCGGGACGTCAGGGCAGTCTCTCCCAGAGGCCTGGGGTAGGCTGTCCGACCTTCCCACACGCACTCCACCCCTTTGCAGGCAAAGGTGAGGTTGAGCAGCCAGCCACACGGGAGACAGCCTGCACGCCCTAATCCCCAAAGCCTACCATTCACCCGCCCCTCATCTTCTGTCCTAAGGGGAGGGGGCCTGGGGAAGCGGGGTTTCCATTGTTTTGCCAGCTGTCTAGCAGCTGCTCCTTCGAGAGGAACCCGCTGTGGGCCTGGCATTGAAAGGGTGAAGGCCGCTGGGATAAAGGTGCTCGCCTTCCCCCTTGTCTTCCTCAGAGCCTCGGTCTGTCGCGGGGGGCCTGGGCCTGGCCCCGAGAAGCCCCTATGCCCGAGGCTGCAGCCTCCACCCCGCAGCTCGGGGCCACCTGGGCTCCCCCAAGCCCCAAATCCCACCAAACTGAAGGCCATCCTGACCTGTCTCCCCTCGTCCCTGGAGCTGGCAAAATGGGCCAGGGCTCCCCTTCCCACCCCTCCCGGTCGGCCCCGAGTCCCGGGCGCCCAGCTTGGCGGCGCAGCCAGGGACCGGGGCCGGGAGTCCGGGCCGCTGTTTCCAGGGGACGGGGGTGGGGAGGAGGAGCCGGCGGGCCCCGCCGCCCGCCCGCCTTCCCGGTCCCAGCCCGCTCCGCTGTCCCACCGGGTCCCGCTCGTCACCGAGAGGCCGCCCCCGCCGCCCCGCACTTACCGGCCGCCGGAGCCCGGCCGGCAGGCAGCAGAAACAGAGACGCGGCATCCAACGGCCCCGGCCCGCTCCGGGCTGGAGTCCGCGCGGCGCAGCGCAGCGCAGCGCCGCCCCCAGCAGCCGCGCCAGCCGAGCAGAAAGGGAGCTCCCTGCTGGCGGCTCCGGGGATAAACGCCCGGTCTTGCTGGCTGCGCCTGGACGTGCCTCTAGCGCCGACCAAGCGGGCGCTGGGCTCTGCGGCGGGACACCTCTGTCGGCGACCGGAGGCTCTGCCTGGAGGTCCACTCTGTCCTGGGCGCCGGAGACTGCTGGACGTGCCCAGGGAAGGCACCAGGGGCATGTTGAACGTATAGAACAGGTTCTTCCCAAGGCGGGCACTGGATTCTGCTGGCTGTGCCAAGAGGGTGCTGCCCAGGGCAGTGCTGTCCAGAGGAAGCCATTGAGTCTTGCTAGCCACATCTTCCCAAGGGGGCTCTCAGAAGCAGACATAGGGCGCTTCTGGATGGTACTACATGGTGCAGTCCAAAGCAGGTGCTACCTGTTATGTCCCAGGTGGCACTGGCAGAATGTACTCCCGACGGTGGACACAGACTTCTCGAGACTTAGTCTGAGAAAGCCCTGTCTCAGGTGGAGCTACCGGATGCATGTACCAGGGACCAGGGCACAGTCATCAGTGGCACTTGCTCCCTAAAGGAGTCCAACAACAGCCAAGATGAACACGTTCCAGAAGCCCTTCAGAATGAAATCTGCCTCTGGGTCTGCCATGTCCTGAACATATCAAGTGAGCTGCTCTACCCAGCAAGAGAGATTTTAGACTTCCTCAGCAGAGGCCACAGGCATTTACAGACCAGGCCTCCAAGATAGGCGCTAGGTATTGAGTTTGGAGACAGAGAGGAAGAAGTGGGCACTTCAACAGGCAGTGTTCAGAGTGTGGAAGAAACAGTGGGGTGGTGCAGGAAACAGGATGTAGCACATGAGGGCAGCTGTCTCCAAAGACAGCCTACCCAGGAACTTCTCCAGGCACAGGTGGCCCAACCTGATAGACCAGGGAAGGCTGAAACGAGGGGGCTCAGGAGCAAAGAGCTGAGTAAGAGCTGGGAGATCCTGAGAAATGGACCACACCCAGAATGTACCTTTGGGACATAAATGAATTGCATGCAACCCAAACTCAATTAAACAAACGTTTACTTAGAGCTTGCTAAGTGCTAAGTGCAGCAGTAGATGCTCTGCCGGATGCAAAGAAATCAGATATGGAGCCTCTCTGGAGAACCCACTTGGGGCAGGTGAAAGCGAGCTGTGACTGCAGTAAGACTCACTACACTGACATCCCTTGGATGATGAGATAGGGCTGTGATGGAGCAGTGAAAGAAAGCTGCCTGAGGACATGACATTTGAGTGGAACCTTGGAGGCTAAGTAGGATAACTATCACTACTGCTTCCTGATCACCTATGATGTGCTAGACACCATCTCTATTCCTCACAACAAACCTATGAGGGAGAAATTGTTCTTATAGATAGGGATTGAGTGCATGGACTCTGGAGTCAGGTTGCCTGGGTTCAAATCCCAGTTTTTTCAAGTGCTAGCGGAGTTACCCTGGGTTATTTACAAAACCTCTCTATACCTCATTTTATTTATCTGAAATATGGGATAATAACAGCGCCTGCCTCAAAGTTCATTTTGAAAATTAAATGAGCTTAGTCTTTTCAAAACATGGTGCTGAAACAACTGGACATTGCAGGCAAGAAGATGAATCTAGACAAAGACCTGTCACACCCTTCATAAAAGTTAAAATGAATCATAGACTTAAATGTAAAACACAGCACTACAAAACTGCTAAATTACATAGGAGAAACCTAGATGACCTTGTATATAATGATAATTTTTTCATATAACACCAAAGGCAAGATTCATGAAAGAAAGAGTTGATAAGCTGGACTTCATTAAAATGAAGAACTTCTGTTCTACAGAAAACAATGTCAAGAGAATGAGAAGACAAGCCACAGACTGGGAGGAAATACTTCTAAAAGACATATTTGATGAAGGACCATTATCAAAAATAGAAAGAACTCTAAAAGCTCAACAATAATAAAACAACAATCTAATTTAAAAATGGGCCAAAGACCTGAACAGACACTTCACCACAGATGATATGCAGATGGCAAATAATCATTTGGAGAGTTGCTCCACAATATAGGTGATAGGGTAATGCATATTAAAACAGCAATGAGATACCACTACCCACCTATTAAAATGGCCAAAATGAACACTGACAACACAAAATGCTGACAGGGATGTGGAGCAACAGGAACCCTCTCATTCATTGCTGGCAGGAATGCAAAATGGTTCAGCCACTTTGGAAGGCAGTTTGTCAGCTTTTGAGAAAACTAAACATACTCTTACCATATGATAAAGTGATTGCACTCTTATTTACCTAAACAAATTGAAAACATATCCACATAAAACCTGCACGTGGATGTTTATAACAGCTTTACCCATAATTCTTGAAACTTATGAGATACCCTTCAGCAGCTGAATGGATAAACTACAATGGAATATAAAAAGAAATGAAAAGACATGAAGGAAACTTAAATGCGTAGTACTGTGAAAGAAGTCAACCTGAAAAGGCTATATGATTCCAACTCTGTGACATTCTGGAAAAGGCAGAAATATGGACACAATAAAAAGATCAGTGGTTGTTAAGGACTGGGAAAGGGAGGGATGAGTAGGTAGAGCACAGAGGATTTTTACACCCCTGAAACTACTCTGTATGATACAATGATGTCATCACACATTTGTCCAAACATGTAGAATGTACAACACCAAGAATGAACCCTAATGTAAACAACAGACCTTGGGTGTTATTGATGTGTCAATGCAGGTTCATTAATTTTAACAAATGTATCATTGTGGGATTTTGATGGTGGGGAGGCTGTGCAAATGTGGGGGCCCAGGGTTTATGGAAACTCTGTACTTTAAGCTCAATTTTTCTCTGAAGCTAAAATTGCTTTAAAAATAAAGTTTATTATTATTTTTTTAATTTAGTGAGTTAATATGTAAAAAGAACAGTGCTTGGCACAGAGTTAGCATTCTGCAATTGTTAAGATTTATTATCATGTCTTCACCAACTTGCAGCATGGAAACTAAGGCACAGACAGGTTTGTGACTTGCACACAGCCTGCAAATGGCAGAGTCATGATTCAAACTGAGTCCCCAAGGCTCAAATCTCATGTTCTCTTCCCTACAGCATGGCAGTGAGTGAATAGGCATATTAATCTGTTTTATTTATGTGTGCCCACATCTAGGGCACTCTTGGGATGGCACAGAGTATTCTTAAGAACATCTCTAGCCTGAACCAGAAACCAATTTCAGAGACCAGGCAAGATTAAAATACCAGGGAAACATCCACAGTGACTCTGGTCGGTTGGTTTTTAGTCTTTTACTTCCTTCCCAAAGGTCAGAATAATCCTTGTCTGACTCTAAGTAAAAGTTAAAAGTAAAGCATCTCTCAGCCCTCAGAAAAACGTCAGAGCAGCGTCCACATAAAATAGCCCAGATGACTATGGGAAGGCCAGTTTTTCCAGAGGATTCCTAAGCTCCTAACAATCTGACTCTAATGGAGAAGGCTCCTCAGAGAGAAACCTGGTAATAATAAAAATCTCTTTAATCAACGGAACCTTTTGGACAGGCACTATGCTAACTCCTTGATAGGCACTGTCTCATGTAGTCAAATCAATCACCCTATTAGGGGGGTACTGTTATTATTCCCCAGTTTGCAGATTAGACACCAAGCCTAGGAAGATGAAATACTTTGCCCAAGGCCACATAGCTCATAAATAGCAGAGAACACTTGTTGTGAACTACTCTCCCCTGGGTGGAATACAAAGTGCATGGGCTGTGGGGCCACACAGCCTGAGAGGACCCTTGTCCTGAGAGGACACTAGCAGCTGCTAGCAAGTTCCATAGCCTCTCTAAGCTTCAATTTCCTCATCCATAAAATGGGGATAATAAAGGGCCTGACTCATGAGGGTGTGAGAGGATAAAACAATCAAATTCACCTAAAGCAATTAGGCCTGTACTTGATACATAGTAAGTGGTTAACAAATATTAGCCTTTATTAATTTCTCCAAACCTCTACTTCCTTATCTGTAAAATGGGGGCTGATGTGATATGTAAGTGATAGAGTTATTGGGAGGCTTAGAAGAAATGGCAAATGTAAAATGTGTAAGATGATACCTGTCACCTAGTAAGCTACTGAAATATGACCCTCCAAAAAAGGGAGCAAATTAGTGAGCCAGCTTTTTAAAAAGCCCACCGAATTGTAAATCTGCCTGATAGCAAGTGCTATTCAGGTAACAAAAGCACACCTGAATATTGTTCCTCAAAATGCACTAATTAGATTAAGATCCTTTATTCCTTTGCATAGAAGCTTGGATGGAGAATGCTTTCTAGGAAACTTAAAAGCTAAATTCTCAGAAGAGAGAACCTGCCAAAGATCAGTCCAAAATAAAGGAGCATGTCAATGAAATGACATAAAAAAGCTTCATGTTCAGAAAGTTCAAACACATCCAAGAGTAAACAAATATAACAGTATATATAATATAACAAACCCCACATATTCACTATACAATTTCAATAGTTATCAATTCATGGAAATCTTATTTCAACTATACTCCCTCCTATCAGTATAATATTGAAGCAAATCCCTGATGTATCATTTCCTCTGAAAATATTTCAGTGTGTATCTAAAAGATGAGGCTTATTTAAAAAACAAAACAAAAACTACAATACCATTGTCATGCCTAGAATTTTTTAACAATAATTTCATAATATCACCAAATAATGTTCAAATTTCCAATTATCTCCATAAAGTGTCTTTTTTAAAAAACTGCTTGTTTGGTTGAATCAAGATCTACACATCATAGTCAGCTGACATAACTTTAAAGTATCTTTTAATCTACAGGTTTTTCTTCCATCTCTTTCCTTTTTCCCCCTTCAACTTAGTTGTGAAGAAACTAGGTCGTTTATCTTACAGATTTTTTGCACTCTGTATTTTGTTGATTGCATCCTCATGGTGGAGTTTAATATGACACTCTGGTTTCTGTATACCCTATCAATTGGTAGATAGATCTAGAAGCTAGAACAGAGTTG